ATAATGTTTCTTAATTAAAACATTTTTCAATGATTTATTTTTAATAGATATAGGCCTATTTTTTATAATTATAATTTTTCATGCTTAACTGTCATGTATATCAAATATTTTAAAATCCTATATACAATTTTTATATGTTTAATTTAATATGTATTGTTTATTTATATGTTTGAAAAAAATATAGGACTAAGTATAAAATTATTTCTAAATGATTATCTGTTAAATTATATTTTAGTATATAGTATAAACATAGTTTTAATTTAATGATTTGTATGTCATTTTAGAAATGTAATTTGTCAGTATTTTTTCCATTTTCCAATTAATTAAATTTAGTCCAGAAGTACTCAACAGAGATAGATTACAATCTTACTACAACACCTGAACATTTGCTGAGAGAATTCTTTAATAACAAACGTTTTCAGCCTACTGCCATAATTTTTTTTTAAAAACCTGATGATGGCCTATGGCAATAGGCTGAAAATGTTTGTTATTAAAGATTCTCTCAGCAAATGCTCAGGTGTTGTAGTAAGACTGTAATTAAATTGATTTTAACTAGTTTCATCAATATAGTACTATAATTAGAAAGAAAAAAATAGAAGTAAATAATATGATATGGCAAATATTTTAAAATAAGAACCACTATGATTGTTAAAATACATTTTTTTTATAATTAATACATTTAAAATTACAATAGAGCGTCGTTTNTTGATGCTAACTAAAACGCATAACATTAAAAAATAAATTTATTTGGCTACAGATCCAACTAATAAAATTACTACAGAACATCAAAGTTTGAACATTCTTCTAATATTGTATTAGGTATTAAACGTGTTCGCTATGGCATGAATCAGAAAGAATTTATTTTGATTTTTCATTCACTACATATATCCATATGTGCACATATAAAATGTAACATATATATACAGTATATTGAAATATTACATTGTCATAAAACATAAATAAATTTGAAAGAATTTTGGAACACGTTCTGTCAGTCGAGTCTGAAACTGTTTAGATTAGGGGTCCCCAAAGTGGTCGATAAGAGTTCTCCAGGGGTCGATTAAGACACGAGGGTCGAAAGGGGGTCGATTAATACCAAAGAGGATCAATTAAACTGTCTAGAAAAAAATAGAATATTCCAATAAAAATTCGAAATACTGATATGATCAACATTACTGACTACCCTAGTTATAACTTGAGTATTTCAATTCAAATATTAAAAATTACAAATTATAATATATCTCATATAACAAAAATATCAATATGTTTATTCAATAATCATTTTGAATGCAAGTACTATGCGATGAGTCAATTAAATTTTAAACATTTAATCAGTTAGGTTGAAAATTGTTAAAATTGTCTTCTATTTTTGTGATATAAAAATTATTAAATGGGTAGTTTTTATTTTTAATGTTTTTTCGTAAGTATATTTTTTACAAATTCAATCGATTATTATTACAAATGTAATGATTATTTTCGGAAAAATCGATTTAAATGCATTGTTTTGGCCCTTTAAGTTGTCTAATTTAGATCGTGTGCTCATTTTCTGAATTGAAGCAATTATTGAATTTTTGAAGCAAATTTTCAAATTCGAAAAGTGTTTTGATTATTATTAAGGGAAAAAAATATAAATTATTTTAAATTTTTACAAAAAAAAAGTTAGCAAATAATTTTTTATATTATTTTTTTAATTTGATAAAAATTACAAAACGCACTTTATTTTTCTTATTTACGCGTTTTATAAGTCATGTTTATATTTTCAGTTAATTGAATAATTAATGCAAAGAACTTATACTATAGGCTATATATCAGGCCACAGCTCATGACACATTAAGGCTAACCTCCAATGAGATCGACTGACAGAGATGACGAATGGAGAACAATGACCCGATCGTATTGCTTATTATAAATTATAGGGTTCTATAACAGTTTCAAACTCGGATTCCCTTCACTAATTGGATAATACATCATCGTAAGCCATATTCCAACTATATTTTTACTGTTATATAGTCGGCTTATTAAACATTTTTGACTATTTAAATTTATAATGTAATCAAAATCTTTACTCTGAAATGAGTTTTATAATATAATTATATATTAAATTTTAATAATTTTTTATNCATAAATGTTTTTTTGAAATGTTTTAAGCACTTTATAAGATTAAAACATTTTGTAGAAAAGATTAATCGATTCTAATGTCATGACTTTTAACTGAGTTGTTATTTAAAAAAAAAAGTCATGTAACCTATTTTAATACAAATCCGATTGTAAAAAATAAAAACAAAATGACAGTAATAATTTATGTAACTGTCCTAATTAACAACTTAATATTCAACTTCTTAATTCTGTTATGTAAATCAGTTAAACAAGTTATGAAATTTATTGAGTTTTATTGTCACATGTGAAACGAAATTACGAAAAGTAAATGAAATTAATCTCTCGATAACCAGGTTTAATGATTAGTTTTCATAATATAAACTTAATTTTAATTTTAATCTGTTTGAAAAAATTGTAAAAATATAATATAAAAACGTAATAACGAGATGTCAGAAAGATTTTTTAGATTTAATCAAAATGTATTAAGGCAATTAAATATTCAATTTACTAATTGTACAATAAAAAAAATTAAATTAAGAAATGATATATTCAATATGAGAAAATAAAAAGAACTTTAAAAAGTCTTTTGTTTAAAAATTATTGACTTTATATTAAACTAGCAGGTAAGCTCGGCGTTGTCTGAACAAAAAAAGTAAAAACGAGCATTAAGATTATTTCGTACTTCTAACCATTTTAAAATTTTTATAAATTGTGTACAGTGGAGGAATAAAGAATTTTTAATTTAAAATGTGTTAGATTGGTCACTCGGTGTGATAAATTCTTACGTACGATAACCTTCGCTGGCACATAAGTCAAATACAGTAATATCCCGACTTACGCGAATTTGACTTACGCGATTACCGCTCGGTCCCACCTATCGCGTAAGTTCGGGGTATTACTGTATANCAATTATCGATGCAGCCCTGGAAAAAAAATCACATATATATATATAATATAATATAAGATAGAGAAGCCCATTGTGACCCACCAAGTTTGGAAATGGTCAAACTAATAGTTCAAATTTGTTGAATCATAATAGGCTTCCCTTACCATCTTACATAGACCTATATACAGAATATCTATAATACAACATATTAATTTAAATTCTGTAGTTTGATAAAAATTTATCAATATTTATGTAACGGTTTTGTATAAATTTGAAGTATATAGACAAATGTTAAAACTATACAAACTTCTAATGTTTCTAAACCATGAGGAAGACCAGGATTGTAGCTACAATTCGTTCGATACGGCTTCGGAAGGTAAGTAGTAATTTGCTGAAAGTCATTGACATTGATTTATCTCATTTGTTTTCATATAGATATAATTTTATATTTTATATATATATATAATGTTACCAATGTTGGTCTAATATCGTAAGCTTTCCCCTCTTCAATTAAAAGTGATACGTCAAAAGGATCTAATATCACGGAGGGAGAATGGATGGCCATAAAGCCAAGAACCGGTCTGTCTGGTCTAAAGTAATCGTAGCCTCGAAGATCAAAGACCAATGTCATCACCGAGAACTCGTCTGTTAAGATAAAACAAAAAAATCAGAAAAATATTTATTGGGAAATCCGTCTTTCATTTTGATGCTAACTAAAACGCATAACATTAAAAAATAAATTTATTTGGCTACAGATCCAACTAATAAAATTACTACAGAACATCAAAGTTTGAACATTCTTCTAATATTGTATTAGGTATTAAACGTGTTCGCTATGGCATGAATCAGAAAGAATTTATTTTGATTTTTCATTCACTACATATATCCATATGTGCACATATAAAATGTAACATATATATACAGTATATTGAAATATTACATTGTCATAAAACATAAATAAATTTGAAAGAATTTTGGAACACGTTCTGTCAGTCGAGTCTGAAACTGTTTAGATTAGGGGTCCCCAAAGTGGTCGATAAGAGTTCTCCAGGGGTCGATTAAGACACGAGGGTCGAAAGGGGGTCGATTAATACCAAAGAGGATCAATTAAACTGTCTAGAAAAAAATAGAATATTCCAATAAAAATTCGAAATACTGATATGATCAACATTACTGACTACCCTAGTTATAACTTGAGTTTTGCCTTAGCCTGCGCCGCTTTAAGTATGTGTTACTCTGTTTTCATGCATCTGACAACTGTACTAGTGTTGCAAACGTTATGAACGCTGGTAGTTCATTATACACAGACATACGTTGCACTGTTACACTCTAGTTGAGTTGTCACTTTAGAGTTGTCACTTTAAGTATTTTATATCTAAATGTAGATATTTTGTCCTTTACAGAGAAAATATCGTAATATATCGAAAATCATTAATATAGTACAGAAGCGTTTGCAAGGAAAAAACGTTACAATTGTTCAAGCTCGAACAATCATAATGACCTTTCAAGTAAAAATGGAGCTATTTAAATCTTCACTGGCACGATCCGATTTTAAATATTTTTCAAACTTGCGAGTACTAAAAGAAAATGAAAAGATTTCCGACCGTGATTTGGAGATATATATTAAACATCTTGATAAATTAAGAGAAGACTTTAAAGCACGTTTCGAAGACTTGGAGAATATGCATGTTCCCGAATGGTTTGCTAATCCATTTGATGTAAAAATAGATAATGAAGGTAGTGAACCTGGCTTAGAATATGAACTGATTGAAATATGTGTAGATCGCAAAGCTAAAGCGTTGTTTAAAAATAAAAACCTCAGTGAATTTTGGAGCAATGGCAATATTCCCACTAAATATCCCAAGCTCAGAGCAGAAGCTAAACCTTTCTTGCTTGCATTCCCAACTTCATACATGGTTGAAGCTGGTTTTAGCCACGCAAACGCAATTTTGACAAAACAGAGGAACAGATTGAACTTGGAAAACCGTGGGGATTTGCGACTAAAACTTACCAATTTTCAACCGAATATCAATATCTTGCTGCTTTCTTCAGACACATTCATCCCACTAATATCAACTATTTTAATAAAAAGGTATGTTAACATATTTTTAAGGTATTCAGTAATTGTCACAAAATGACAGTAAGAGGTTTTTTCATCCAATATAACTTATGTTTTCAAAAATAATTGTGTGTTTTACGTATTATGACACGTAAGGTTTAAGAACTATAAGCAAATTTTCATCTATCCATAATTTTGCTGTTATTTTTTAAGATTATAAATCAGTGAAAATATCTCCTTTTTCTGTTAATGTTATTGGGTGGATTTTATAAGATATGAGAACTATAAATTCTTTTGTTGGTTGTTATGCAGGTCTCCTTATCGCTTAACATCAGAAATGCAAAAATGATTTAATGTTTTTGTTAAATACTCAATCTGGGGGTCGATAAGAAGACAAATATTTTATAAAAGGGTCGACAGGATAAAAAGTTTGGGGACCCCTAGTTTAGATCTTTTCATGCTCTGAATTTTTGCTGTAATGTACACTGTGATTGTTTTAGTCTTTTTCGCAATAGAGAAGAAAACTATTCTTACGATCAGCGAAAATTAAGAAATCTATGCATATATTAAAACCCATCCACTCTGTTCTCAAAAGTATATTGCCTGCCACTTTTCTATTGTCTGAAAGAAAAATGTAAATAGACGGACGGTAGGGAATATTTTAAACCAAAACAGCAAGTAAAAGAATGCAGAAAATAGAGCATCTAGAAAAATGAAAACTAGAAAATATGACGAACTTGAAGAAACCTTAGTGATATGGATTGCGCAAGTAATTGCAAAGAATGGCACTGTCACAGATGATGTGATAAGAAAGCAAGCATAAGTATATTTAGACTGCAGATGAATATGTGCAATTTTAGTACAGGAATGAGTGGCTGCAACGGTCTAAACGGCTTCATGGCTTATCACAAAGAAACATGAAAAACTGCTGAAGTTGATTTGAATGTTGTAGAAGGGGGAAGAACTAGTCTGTCGACAATAATAATCAAATCATCATGTAAACTTCAAATTTATTTAATATCCATTTTTACAAAATATGAATTAAATGTGTCAGATGTTATACTTACTGTTTACTTTAAGAATAGGTAATTTCTTTGCATTTCTATATCTACCGTTTATTGTGTGGCATATTCTTGGAATATCTTCATAAAAATTGACGAATGATACTGTTATATTTCTGAAATTAATAATACGATGGCATTTGAATTAAATATTTAATATATAAATAACGTTTTCTAAATAATTATCACATATTTTAAAAAATTATCAAAACATAAATAATTTTTAAAACACGTAAAATTATTTTAAATAAACCAGCAACGAGTTGCTCAACTTTCCCGGCAACGTTTAAAATTTTAATGGCGCCATCTGTTATCATATTTTATTTAAAAAATTTTTATATTTTTAACTATTATAAAATTGCAAAAACCTTAATTTTGAGGGTAGGAATGAGTTTTATAAAAAATTGTAAATGCTAATAACGAGTAAAATAGTTATTACGTCTGACCCTATTCGAGATATGAACAAGCGACCCCCATTATCTCCTCACCCCCTCGACCTTTAATCGCCAAAATTTAATAGCACGAATCCCCTAATAAACAAAACACCCCTGCAAAAGTTCAGAAATTTTCGACAAAAAGCACAGGAGTTATTAAGCTTCAAACAGAGTGAACAAAACCGTGCCACACACGCATTAACATCCATACATACAGAAATTATCCCCGAATTCTTTGCATTTCTCGACGTTTCAAGGTGTCCTAAGTCCAAAAATCTTAAAATCTGGGTGGGAGGTCATTTTTTGCCGGATCGCGATACCTTCCTTCTGTTATAACAGCCGGAAAAGTAAAAATTTAATTTATTTAATAATCAAATTTCTTAAAGAATAAACTTTTTTAGCTTTTAAAAACGAAATATAAAATAAGACAGTGAATTTTTAATGATAATTTTTAAACTGTTTTGTCATCATAATAGATTAAATAAAGATTAATACTAACGGGCATGCCATTGATTTATCAGAAACTGTAAGAGTACAACGGCGTAACAATTCTTCTTTTTGCTGACCATATTTAAGTACTATTTCTCTTGGTGCATTTTTTTCCATTACACTATATTCTGGTTTCGGTATCTAAAAAGCGAATTCTAATAATTAATATTATATTAAAAATGCCCAATTTTAAAAAGTATTAAGAACAATAACATTTTAGAAAGAATTGAATTAAAAAATAAATAGAATAAATTGGAGTAAATAAGTAAATAAAATCTTTTTATTTAAATTATAAAATTTAAATATTTTTTTAAAGTTTAATTCGCGATTTATAATGAGTTATAAAATTTAAGTCTAGTTCATTGTGATTTATATTAGCAATATTTCGTTTCATGTTTGAAGTATACGTATGTCATACCTAAAGTCATGAACAACAGTTTTTCATAAATCCCAATCTATTAATTATAAAAAAATAAAAACATTGTTATAATCTATATACTATAGACAGTGCCATGAGTAAGTTGTAATTAGCTTCCATTACGTGACCAAAGACAGCTAATACAAAATGGCTGCAACTGACGTTTCGTTTCGCCAGCGTGCTGTGATTGAATGTCTCATTAAAGAGGGAATCTCCGCTTCAGAAATTCACCAGAAACTTCAGCATGCATATGGAAATTGGATGCTAGCAGTGAAGATGGGTAAAACATTTTAAAGATGGAAACCCAAGCATCAAAGATCAGTCTTGTAGCGCCCATTCGCAGAGCTCCTTTTTTTCTGGAATGTAGATGGAGTGATTCGGGTGGAATTTCTTGAATTTGGACATTTCTTAAACTATTAAATGATGCGTGGTATGTCATGACACTTCATAAGTTCTGTTGTGCATTGCATGATAAATGTCCTGGTAAGATCATCCTGCAACACGACGCCACACATTACTCTTTACACCATGGAGGAAGTTCAGTAAATGGGGTGAGAAGTTCCTCTGCATCTGCTACAGTCCCGAATAAGCACTCTTCGATTATCATCTTTGCGGTGTTGTGAAGGAAAACATGTGAAGCCCACAATATGAAATGGTGCAGGACATCAAGAAAGCAGTACGTTAGTTTTCTTCGTAGTGCTAAAACAGAGTTCTGTCATAAGGGAATTTTTAAGCTTCTACAATGGTGGGAAAAACTTATTCAAGAAAATGAAGACTATGTGAAAAAATAAAGAAACCTCTGAAAAATAACGTGATGTATTTGTTTTTCAAAAAATATATTAATCTTCTTTATAAAAGATTGTTACTCATGATTTTCAGTATGTTCTTTGTAGATTAAATATTCTTCGACTATAGCAACAACAAAACTTCGGCGAATGAAGTGTTATTTTTAGACTAACTTATTCTTTTCAAAAATGAGCAAAATTTCATTTTTAAAATGTTATGGCTTAATAAAACTACAAAGTCATGTTTACACTTGTATAAAAAGGGTTGTATTGTTTTATATCATATTAGATAACATCCTTAATAGTTGCTACAATTTATTTACAATACAATTGCCGTACTCTTACTTGCTACACATTTTACGATAAGTAGAATAAACCTGTCTAGTAAATTCATTTTTTCCTCCATATTTTGAGAATAATTCTGTTTCATCTTCTCTAAACATTTTCTGAATCATTTATGGAGTAATGTGATTTTAAAAGTTTCGATGCTTGTTTAATAACGAATTAGAGTTTTAATTTAGCTATTTTAATCTTGTCATTTTTTCCCGATAAGCTAGAATCTACAATGTCAACTAAGGATAAGATTGAAGCTCTAATTCGAAACCTTATGCTATTTAATAAATAATTAATTTATTTGTTTAGTGTCATCTTAGAGTCGTTAACGCTTCAATATCAATCAAGTAAAGCATATATTTTGAAGAATGGATAATTTGATGACCATCGTATATTAAATATTGATTATCTATTGAGCATATACTTGATTGCAGTATATTGTATATAAACAAATATATAAAGTTATGAAGTGGATTCATAAACTTATGTAGGTTATATGAATTCATGTGTTTCTTTTGCAAACATTGTCTTCGCCTATTGGGTACTAATCTTTGTTACTAGTTTGTAATGCTCTGACAAGTGAAACAATAAAAAAATTAGATCAAATACGAGACGATCGAATGGCTAAAGCAATTAAGGCATATGCTTACTGTTTTGGAAAACCCGGCATCGAATCTGTGTGTGTAGTCTTAGGCAGCTTGTCACGGATTGTTGTGACACAACAATATGTTAGAAAAATTCATTTAATTAAAAAAGTAACTGTTTAATTACATAATACGTTTTAATTATTAAAATTTAACTAGATAGAAATATCCAGCTATAAAAATTTTAAAAGTCTATCGTAAATAGATCCTATTGGTATATCGGGCCAGGCCATCATTGAGGTTTAGCCGAACTCACAATAGACATGGAAAAAAAGCCATTTTAGTGCCCACAGGGCGGAAAGACTCAATAATAATAATAATTATTATTATAAAACAATAGATTAAAATTTGGCAACTACAAATAAATTTAACAGAAAATATTATCTCGCAGGAAAAGAGGAGCAGGTATTTTAACTTTTAAAGAAGATGCAACATTAGGGCAACTTTGCGATTCATTAATAATTTTTTTATTTAAAGAAAATTTGCCAATCAAATTTTAAAAAGTGTTGACAGTATTTCCAATTGTTGAAAATCTGAAGAGGAATTATAAAAGTTTTATAGCGTTTAAATAAAAATAATTTAGAAATACTATTGCGAATTTATACATAATTTTCAAAATTTTATTATCAACATCATTACTTCTAGAAGTAATTTCAATTTATTGAAGTTAACAAAAACTTATCTAAGGATTACCATGTCAAATCATATGTCTCAACAATTTAATTTTATTGTCAACAGTAAAAGATTTTATCCAAACGCTAGATATTCAGAAAATATAAATTTTGCTGATATGAAAACGAAAACGAGGAAAAGAAACTTTTAGTCAGTAAACTATAATCTGTATACATAGAAGTCATTCTGCATCTAAATTTATAAAACTTAACTGGTGTCATATTTTCCAAATGACTACGTAAGTATCATTGTTTTCTCTGGCTTTTGCTCCTATTATAATTGGAAATTGATTGGTAAAAAAAATTACTTTTGCTTCTTCTTTATATTTTACATTCTGCTCTGTTTTGTTTATGTTAAAAGAGACTCGTATTGGTTTTTCTTCACTATTTTTTTTAAGAATTCACATCATGCCTCAAATATGATAGCAAAAGAACATAACAAAGACATGCCTTAAAGCCTATAGTATAGTTTTATGTATGATATATGATAAGCAGATAGAAATAGGTTGGATATTTCTATCTACATGTAGTTTAAATTTTTTAATTAAAAAAATATTGCATAGTCAAAAAGTTGTTCTCCTTTATTTGAATTAATATTTGTTGCATATTGTTAAATAATCCACTTATTAATACGTTATATTTATTTTTTCCAATTGAAAATCGTCATGTTGTCTGTTGTCTGTTATCATCTTGCAGAGAAACTCATATACTGTACATATTGTATATATATATATATATATATATTACTTCTAATAAGGGAAGTTTGGTAGTAAAAATATGTGTCAACAATGGTAAAATAAAATTATATTATCATCAGTTCCGAATAGTTTTGATGCCTTAGATTAGCGTAAGTACTGTACAGTACTGTACATCTCCAATTTTCTTATATTTCTATAAACATTATGGCGTATTTTTAGTGTCTATGGAACATTTGCCTCGCCGTCCATCAGCACTGTCCTGATTATCAGATATTATTGAATATAAGAATAAAACTATAAACCAAAATATAAATTATTATAATATTTTAACATTAAATTATTGAAAAACGTATTTTAAGTAAAAAAAAAAAAAGTATTTAATTTAAATTTACATAACTAATTAAAATTTTGATTCAAACAAGACAATGACATAAAAGAAATATCTAAGTCGAAATAATAAAATTTAAAAATTTAATACGTATTGTTTTCAGTAATAATTTATATAGAATTGCTAAAAACAAAATTACCTGAATACTAGTAATATTTTCTTTCAATAAACAAGAATTGGGAAATCGTTTACAAAAGTCGCTATTTTTTTCAAGAGTAAGACAGTTATCCGGGTAATCTTTACAATATTTACTTCTGCTTAATCTAATTAAAAAATAATAACTGTAGAAAAAAAAATATTTAATTTTTAGCAGTTAATTTTTTTAAATAAAAACTTACCCATTGTAATTACAAATAGTAATTGCAGGCAATGCGATATCTTTAAAAAAGTAATTATCCGCTTCTTCCATAATTGGATATTTCCAATATATTCTTAAAAATGTACCCATTTGATAACAGAATCCGATGATACAAGAGAAGAGAACTAAAATTTTCCAATATCTTCTAAAATTTGTAGCGAAGAAAATTTGTGGCACTCCCGTCAATATGGACTGTTTTAAAAGTGCAATTACGTAGTTACGAACGGTTATTTTCTTTCTAAATGCTTTTTTATGATTCATCATTTCGAATAGTTTTAGAGTATAAGTGCCGCATATTTAAAACTAACAAGAAAAGCAATACTATATACTAAATTATTCGAAATACATTTATCTATAAATCATGACATATTTAACTTATTTACCTTTTACGCTTAAAATTCTACAAACTAAAGCCTGATATTTCTCTTCATAATGGTGAATAAACATGTAAGTTGGCATACTAAGTGCATTTTCAAGTTTGCATTTTTTTAATGTTGTTCAATGAAGCTTTTATTATAGTTTAAATTATTACACGAATTATTGATTTTAAAATGAAATCATAAATAAAGTTCAAAGCTAATAGAAAAATCTTGTAACCTAACTTTTAAATTTAATTTCTTGAAATGTTTTTCAAAATAACTTATTGGTGAAATTTTATAATCAGTTAATGATTAAATAAATATTTAATTTTTAAATTCACTGTCTTAAATATTTAGACCAAAGAGCGCTTCAGCCTCTTGAGGGGTGGTAGTGCCCACTTTGGGAATCACATTGGAAGATACTTTGGCCCATTTTGAAAGACAAGGGAGACAAAAATTCATTTTCAAACAAATATTTAAATATTTATATAATTAAATATGTAAGAAATGTATTCACTAAAACCGGAACGGTAGATAGAAAGTTTAGGAAGCACTGATTTAGACTAAAACTATTAATATGCGTAAATATAAACATCTTTTTAATACTTTTACCAACAATAAATTTCTAAATTACATTTAATGTAATGTAGTATACTAATTTAAAAAATTTTCAAAATCATTAATATTTAGAGCTGTATAAGTGTAAAGAATAAAGATATTAATTATAATAGTAACAGAGTTATTTATTTAATTAATGTAGTTGCTTTGAATTCTTTAAAACATAAATGTTTTTTTGAAATGTTTTAAGCACTTTATAAGATTAAAACATTTTGTAGAAAAGATTAATCGATTCTAATGTCATGACTTTTAACTGAGTTGTTATTTAAAAAAAAAAGTCATGTAACCTATTTTAATACAAATCCGATTGTAAAAAATAAAAACAAAATGACAGTAATAATTTATGTAACTGTCCTAATTAACAACTTAATATTCAACTTCTTAATTCTGTTATGTAAATCAGTTAAACAAGTTATGAAATTTATTGAGTTTTATTGTCACATGTGAAACGAAATTACGAAAAGTAAATGAAATTAATCTCTCGATAACCAGGTTTAATGATTAGTTTTCATAATATAAACTTAATTTTAATTTTAATCTGTTTGAAAAAATTGTAAAAATATAATATAAAAACGTAATAACGAGATGTCAGAAAGATTTTTTAGATTTAATCAAAATGTATTAAGGCAATTAAATATTCAATTTACTAATTGTACAATAAAAAAAATTAAATTAAGAAATGATATATCAATATGAGAAAATAAAAAGAACTTTAAAAAGTCTTTTGTTTAAAAATTATTGACTTTATATTAAACTAGCAGGTAAGCTCGGCGTTGTCTGAACAAAAAAAGTAAAAACGAGCATTAAGATTATTTCGTACTTCTAACCATTTTAAAATTTTTATAAATTGTGTACAGTGGAGGAATAAAGAATTTTTAATTTAAAATGTGTTAGATTGGTCACTCGGTGTGATAAATTCTTACGTACGATAACCTTCGCTGGCACATAAGTCAAATACAGTAATATCCCGACTTACAGAACCCGGAGTTACGCGATTTTCAAATCTCGTCGATTCGTCTTTTGTTTGAGCGCCACGCTATTGTTCAGCTTACATGTTCCCCCCACACTATTGTTCAGCTTACATGTTCGGATGTGTCGCGCGGAATCCACACATAGCTACAATTTATTTTGTATTATTTATTTTTGTGTTTGTTATATCTACGGAGAGTTGAGAGACTCTACTATGTCATCCAAACGAAGTAGAACTAATTCTTCTGCATCAAATAAGAAAAGAAAAACTTTATCTTTGGAATGTAAAGTTAACATTGGGTATGTTCGTAAAGTCGAACGAGTTAAGCGAGAATGAAATCATCGTTATTCCTATTTCGTTAGACTTTTCGAATGATTCGTTACTAACGCGTTTAACTCGTTTGACTTTACGAACGTACCCGTTATTAAAGACTTCGATACAAAAATGAAAATTTGTGAATTGGCAAAGAAGTTTGATCTACCGGAATCGACGGCCAAAACAATTATAAAAGGCAAAGAAAAAATTCTCGAAGCTGTGAAAAATGCTCAATCTTTAAATTCAAGCATCATTCGTAAACGTCACAGTATTGTCGCTGAGAATGAAAACAATGTTAAAATTATGGCGTAATAATCAAGTAAATGTGAAAAATTGTAAAATAATAGAGGCCTAATTTGTTATACATATGTATTATCTAAGATTTTACTAAACATTTTTTTCTAAATTATTGTTTTCTTTAGTCTCCGGCTCCAATTAAAAATTATTTGTATGTATTTATATGCGAAATTATACTCCGACTTACGCGAATTCGACTTACGCAATTACCGCTCGGTCCCACCTATCGCGTAAGTTCGGGGTATTACTGTACTATAATATAAAAAACGTTAAAACAAAAATTATATAAAGTTAAACCTGGCAATTGTAGGTTAAAGTGGCCTACCTAAACCCAATTGCCAGGTTTATCGCGATATTCGGGTGGTACAAAATAGCACAATTTCATTGGTGAAGTACGATATATTAAATTTTTAAAATAGCGTATTTTTTTTCTAATGTTAACAGTAACAAACTGTTTCATTCACAGCCGAATATTACATGGTGATCTGCCAACCAATGAAATTTCGCAAAAAATACAGCAAATATTTAAACTCAGCATCCTGAAAAACCACTTAAATCATATTTTGTGCTGGCCGGTAATATCGTATTATGCAATTTTTCCTATTCGAATGCCACCATACCGTTAGGAATAAGAAGAAGGGACTGTTGCGAAAGGGGTTGAAGTTAATTCGACCAAAAGTAGTCGTTGATCTCCTCCCGGAAGATAGGATGATCAACGACTACTAATTAATACTGGTCTACTATTAATATTTGAAAAATGATCAATGTTAGATAGTTGTGATGGCCGCATGCGATGAAAGTTGCTAACCTTAAGGCCCGAAAGAATTCATATAAAACTCGTTTAAATAAAAAAAAAAATTGCGTAAAAATGCAAGAATAATTGCTTTTATGTGATTCTTGATTCTCATAAAAAAGACTGATTTATTAATAAAAGTTCCTGACAATGTAATTATTTTTAGTAAATTAGTTGTTTGAAAATGTTGACATCTCGAGCACCGCAACAGATATTCATGAATAATTAAATATTGTTCAAAAGTAACCAAGTCACATTTCTGTACGTGGTGAATAATTTTGTTACTTACTTATATAAGATAATTGAAGATAAATAAAGCATAATGAAAAACAAAGTTTTATTTTCTTATCGTCACCTCGTTATTAACATCCAGAATTTGTGGGGCCTTTAACCATAATAAATTCGTCGCACAGTGGTTTTTAACTTTAGCAGCTGATTTTTATGCTATCGTGTATAGTACAGTACATCAAGCACCTACAAGTACACGTAGTTTCACCTTTAGCACTTTTAGGCAAAACAAAAAAACCCAAATGTGTATTTTTTTTCCATGTGAATTTTATTTCTTTGAAGTTTTTTTAAGTATGAAAATTAAATTTCTATAAAAACTTGTAGAACTAATGTTGTTCGGCATTAAAAATTGTAAATAAAAATGTTTCGAGGCTAGAACCCATTTTTTAAAGTTAACAATCACTGTGCGTCGTATCACCCTCTATCGTGGTTGCATCAGCTAACGTTCAGAACGCGTTATGGCTTTTCTTAATCACCGCATATGCATAGTGGTCATGGAAGCCACGAAGCGAATTTCGGTTTGTGGTCTTTTTGAATTAGTCACAACTCGTTGTGGCTGTTTTTACAAGTGCCACAACACGAACATCGCGTTGTGGATGATTTAAAAAGACCGTAATACATTGTGGGCGTTTTTTTCGCTCAATGAGCGTTTTCGTTCTTTAAGCTTAACATACAGTACTGTATATTACACAAATTTTCAGTACTGATATATTCTTTGTCGGAAAAAAATGAAAATAGTAATCTTTGTGTTTTATTATTATTTATCCTGTACTTAGTAATGATCATAACTATACAAATTTACATTTTCTGAATGAATTACAAAATTATTTTATAAATCTTGTAACAAATTTATGTGCAAAATAGCCAATTATCGTTAAATTAACACAGATATCGTATATTGTCATATTAAAAAATTAACTGCTAAAGTTTTCTGAAGTCAAAATATTGAACTACTATTATGGTTCTAATTGGGATTTAAATCCAATTAATTAATTAAAAACATATTGAAATTTATAAGACAAAATTTTTAGAAAAGTGATCACAATAGCATGCATTTATACATGTTATTGTGCATGTGATAAATCTAAATACAGTATATAAAATTACTTGTCCTGACTGACTTAGTCACTGATTCATCATCGCCCAGAGCAAACCACTGAACCTAAAGAGGTGAAATTTGGTACAAAGATATACCCCGTTCGCACCGAGCATTTCGATCTAGATTGTGACTAAGGTCGGAGAGAGTTCCGTGGTGCGAACGCTCTCGATCGTTTCAATCTCGACTGAAACGAGGCTAAATCGCGATCGACTGGAGAGAGTTCTTGAAACTAGATCCAGTCATAAGAGAGATCCCACAATCCCACGCGCGCGAGAAAATACAAGATGGTTCGTGTCCGGCTATTGACTGAAAAATAAAAAAGACATCTGGAGAGACGATGACATCTGTCTATTATTAGATATACGGCAAGAAAAAGTATTTATTTCTAACCAAAACTTCCATTTTGTTTGTTGGTGTTTGTGACTTACCGCGTAGTTATGTCAATTTTATCATCGCGTGTAATAGCCAGATTCTTCTCAAGCGAGTTACCTGTGCGAACAGCACGACGTTCCACTGGCGACAGTC